AATGCAGCAGCGGTATCATCAAATTATAAGTTTAAAAAGAAGACGGCGCATGAGTTTGCACGAATGTAAAAATACTCAAAATAGTGTTTTTAATTTAAAGCTTTCGTGACTGCAGTAATTCATATTTTTAGCTCTTTCGGTAAAGTCACGTTGAAGGGAAGCAATAAAATAATAAAAAATATATAAAACACTAAATATTATCACGACGTTTCGACCATAACACAAACGGTCGTCATCAGGTGTGTCGGTCCGCATTAATGTATTTATTTTTAAACGGTGTATTTATTTATTTATTTATAAAAAAAATCGCCAGCGCCACGCGCAGCGATTTGGCAGTTTGTTTAGGACTAGTCCATCTATGTTTGTAAGCAATCTGGCTACCATGAGAGATTCGTTCATGAGGCTATCCACATATACAAGCACAGAGACAATTTCAACCGAGAAGATGGATTCTGGCTTAGCAATCATTGGAAAGATTTGATTAACCATTTCAGGTCTTAATTGATTGTTCACGCTTACAGTGGCTTTCAGACAGCATACATTATTTTTTTTCGTCTCCCCCCTCCTCTTTTCAGAACATAGATGGACTCGTCCTTCTAAATAAACTGCCAAATCGCTGCACGTGGCGCTGAGGTTTTTTATAAATAAATACACCGTTTAAAAATAAATAAATTAATGCAAACCGACACACCTGATGACGACCGTTTGTGTTATGGTCGAAACATCGTGAGAATTTTAATTGTTTGATATATATTTTATTATTTTATTGTTTCCCTTCAACGTGACTTTACCGAAAGAGCTAAGAAAATAGTGTTTTTTTTGTAACCAACGCGTGCCCATAACCGAGAGCGAAAATAACTTATTTCGGTCGATGATTCTCTGTCGCCCTGTACCTGCATTTCACTCTCCAACTGCAGCTGTTGGCGCACGTCTCAGCGGAGACGTGTTCCAGGACTGTGGTGGTGGACACTTTGCTCAGCTCGGTGTGGTACAAGCGCCGGTATGAGTTGAGCTCGCTTCTCTGTGCTGGAGGTGGTGGTGGGGGGAACACAAAGTAGACCAAAGCCATCGAAAAGTTTCGGTACAAAAAACATCTGGTTCTTCCATTTATGACAAACGTGGGTCGGTCAATATTTTCTCATCAGCCACGTGAGCCATGGTCAATCCACTGTTGGATGAAGGTCGCCCCCAAATCCCCGCCGAACTCTCACAGGCATGCGGTGGAACGCTCCGCGTGCTACCCGCACGCGCGCAAATTTCACGCTCCATCTCCGAGGCGGACGCTCTCTTGGGGGCCTCACAGGATAAGTATTATATCATGTAAAAGCTTACCCCGAGCTCTCAATACTCTGATGGTGCGTTGTCTTTGAGTCGTGCGCCTTTTGGCGTCATATGGTCCAACACCGCGTGGGACTGGGCTCTAAGGAAAGCTGTCTCGGGTGTGGACCGATCAATTTCAAGGACAGTGCCAATCCATTATCAGTGTTGTCTTTTTGTTTGCATTTTGACCGCAAGTGTTGTGGTTAATGCAAGACATGATCCCTTGTAAAAAGGTATCAGTTTTGTTGCCAGATAAAAGGGTAAAAATCTCTTATTATAGGATAAGTATTAGTCAATGTGACACGCTTCAAGTGGTAAATGTTGAGTTTTTTAAATACTGCAACACTGCTTTTCTGGCAAAAGACACTCTCTCTTTCAAGCTATAAGGAAATTCACAACAAAGCAATAACTCAAGGTAAAATATTTTTAAAATATAGAGCAAAAGCTGATATTATAATGAACGTGTTGGATTGTAAAAATGAGCTACGCACATAAATGGTCACCGCAATCCTCTCCACCTACACCCATCGTGATGTTGGGGAATTCAGACTGATGATGATGATGATGACGACAACATTCTATTTAATATAACATTATCTTTGCTGCTGATAAAACATATCACTGGTTAAGTGAAAGCCTGTGTGAGTGTGTGCCAATTTGTTGTCACGACTATTCGTATTGCTCAGCCATCCCTACATGTAATATGAAACACGAGGCATACCTTAGAGATCATATGCATCGCAGGTGTATATGTGTTAAGGTATATATTCTTAGTTTTTTCGGTAAAGTCACGTTATTTTGTTGTTTCCCTTCAACGTGACTTTACCGAAAAAACTAAGAATATGAATTACTGCAGTCACGAAAGCTTTAAATCAAAATTTAAGGTATATATTGTTATAAAGTTGCCAAGCGCTATGTTGGAGCATCTGAAAGACGGGGAGGAACAAATTAGGTACAAATCTACCTATTGTCCTCTGCATAACAAGTAGTCGTAATTTATTGACAAAGTGGCTTTTCATTAAGGATCTCAAAGTGCTGTACAGGACACAGCAGCAGACACTCAGCATAAACATGATATAATGAATACTTTTAAATAATCCATTTACTAAATAACAAATAAACGCTCATTAATTATCTGATAACACTAATATATCGAAGACTACAGAGCTTGGATGAGGGGCGGGGGGAGTGGATTTCAGGGTACATTTGCCTCTCCGCAAATGTACCCTGACATTCCAGTACGTTCTCCCAGCTACGCAGTGGAAACTAATTGTGCAAGTTTCTTGACTAATTGTGGAAGTTTCTTGGCTGTCCCGACCTCAGCAGTACAAATGGGCACAACACAGATATTGGATCGGCACATCGCGTGTGGTGGGCTGAAGCGTGGGGGTTTGCCACCGATTCCAAGACGTCTGGCAAGAATGGAAGAGTAGGCCAAATACCATCAACAGTGGGAGGGCTCTCCAGAGCTCCGTCGAGTAGATGCTCTTCTGCCAACAGTGGTGTGCACAAGCAATTGTAGAGGGCCGCACCTTTAACGTAGACTTATTTTGCCTCTTAGCTTCTGGTAACACGACTCATTTGTCACGACATCCAGACTAATACCTATCTGCTGGGGAGCACGGATCGTATTAAACATCGTCGTGCGGATTTTAGGAAGAAATGCAGATCTATTTTGAGATGCAGATAACAGGAAGAGCAGATAATCGATCAGATAAGAGGAGTTTAATCTAAAAAGAAACACTGAAGGTAGCAATGACTCGGAGTAGGTTAAACAACTTGTAACACTTACATGCAGAGAAATACATTGTAATATTTACATCACTTGTCACCAATCATTATACAACACCCGGCGCATACGAGCAGTTGACTGGACATTGTGATGCGTTTGGCACACCGGGCATTTCAATAGCCCAGGGTCACTCGAAACGTGCATATTTGGGAACAACACCGATTAATCACGATGCGACCCCACACTCACCCAGAATGCTGAGAAGCGTCGCATACGACGTGACTAACGCCGCTGCTATCCTGTGTCCCATGGCGGAGTCTGCTGCTGATTTGGGTGTGTGACAATCCGCGTTTTAACCAGGGTCAATATTCAACCCTGACTCACTCTCAAAACACACACAAGCGGATCTCTCTCTCTCTCCCCTCTCTCTCTCAAAACACACACACGTGGCCTGGCCTCTGCCAAAACACACAAAGTTTGGTGCCTCCCTTTCCCCTCCCTTACTCTTAAAATACTGTATACGTCCCTTTGAAGCCGCAAAGAGAACATTCTCACGAATGGCCCGATTACTTATTTTTTTGTGAACACCCCCCCCCCCCCCCCCGATTGACAATGTAAACATTTGTCGGTTACTGCGCTCCATAAATAGTTTAATCTGTTACCGCATCGGTATTATCTTCAGCATTAAACCCAGCAATGGCAGGAACGGCGTTATCATGGTCATTGTCGGCATCACCGTCGACATCACCATCACCATGTCCCATCACTTTGTTTTTCCTCCATGGCGCATAACTTCCTTACGCTAGACTGGAAGTTCCAGTCATCATATTATCCGAAGTGACATGGAAGTTGGCTCCCATGGGGATGCTCCTTGATGTCTGCAATTGTGAGAGCCGATATTGCAGCCTCCAATGTGGACTCTTGACATGCGCCTCCCACCAGGGAGATGGAACGATGAAATCCGCGTGTGTGGTGGTGCTAGGTGATTACGTCGCACATTTGTGAGCGATGGAAATGGACTGGTGACGTCTTCATCCAGCAGTGGAATCGCCACGGCTGAATGTGATTAATGTTGTAGCCACGCAGACAAGGACCCAGGGTGGATACTGGAATGTGTTTGGCCAGTTGTCACATTTTCATAATCTTGGAAAATTGAGAACCCAGAGAAAATCCAAACAAACCATGGAATAACAATAACACAACTTGCTGTATATGCGGATAGGGATGTTGCTAAGTGGATTGATTGTACCTTGTGCTAACAAGAACTAATCTTTCTGCAATGCAATATTCCACTAACATTATATGTTACTTTTAATATAAATGAGTGTATTTTGCAGTCAAACTTTGAAATTATTTAAAGGGCTGTATCTGCTAACCAGAACCTACTATTAAATAACTATTTATATGCCGATTTAAAAACTGGTCATCAGAACACATTTAAAAACGTTTAATTCGATTCTCATCGCCAGGCCCCGTTGTGTAAACGAGTGCAGTCCCCAGCAACCACGATTATCCACTGTGCCTCTCTGTCTTTGCCATTTATGCGTCATGAATAAGAGAAAATTGGCCAAAACCATCATCGAGCAACGTGTTGTGGTTAAATGTGTTGTTAATCGTGCTTGTTGTAAGCAGTACCCACGCACACTGCAAGACAAACCCAGCACAGCACCGCAGCATCACCGTGAGTTGAACTTTTGTTTTGCTCTACTGCCATCTACTGATTTGAAGCTTTCGTGACTGCAAGGATTCATCTTCTTTAGTTCTTTCGGTAAAGTCACGTAGAATAAGAATAAAATAATAAAACAACACAATAAATATTCTCACGACGTTTCGGCGCTGTGGCCAAAACGCCGTGAGAATTTTTATTGTTATTTTATTATTTTATTCTCATTCTGCGTGACTTTACCGTAAGAACCAAAGAAGATGCCATCTACTGGTCACGGCCGTGAGCCCTCCACACAGTTCTAAAGCAGACGGCAATCGGAGTCCGTCTTTCGCCGCATCTCGTTGCCCCCTGTGCGAGTGCTCGGTGCGGCGTGGAGTAAACGTCGCCACTGGGGGAGACAAAGGCGGCCGGGCGTGGTGGTGGTGCTGTGGTGGTGCTGGCCGGGCCAACCCACCGTGCCTCGTGTGCCTATCACAAGTGGGGGGCCTTCATAGCTGCTGCTGCTGCTTGCTAACAGCACTTGCCCCCAACAGCTTGTTAAGGCTACACGGGGCGGGTGTTGTGTGTTTCAAGTGTTGGTGGTGCATCTTTCAGCCATCTCACGCGAGACACTTGACGTGGCCTCAAAGCGCACCTAGCCTGGCACAAAACGCCCGCGGGTAGTGTCTCGATCGCACGCATCTTGTCGCCTCCCTCGTCTGGATCACGCGCCGTGGTCGCCGATTCGAAGCAACGCGTATGGTACGTGCACAGTTATAAAGTACTCTACTTCAGTGTTTGCACTGCTGTGTTGACACGTTTTTAATGATGTGAGTGTGCGAGGGAGTGGTGGCGCAGTAGTTAGCGCGCTGTTTGCTACCAGCCGAGATAAACTGAACAAGAGGTCTCGGTTTATCACCACCACGGCGAACATTGCGAGCGATCGTGCGGGGCCAGTAGCCCGAAATAAAATATTAAAACAATATTTATTTTTACTTGCACGGTAAAGTAATTGTATTTTTTTTTATTTGCTACCCAGCCACATAATACGACAAATCGCTAACCTTAAACAGCCAGTCGTTCATGAAAGTTTAAGGCGGTATAGTACTATAGTCATAGAGCAAGTACAGAATCACTGAACCGGGAATTGACAGCTTGAAAGCGTTTAGCGCGGGGCCCTTGAAAGTGCGGGGCCCGTAGCATTTGTTGCTTTTGCTACGAACATCATCGGGCACTACATCAGTCGTGGGCCTCCACTAGGTAATCTCAGCCGTAAACGAGTGCGTTGGGCGCGGTATGTAAAACGGTAACGACAATCAATCGATTGCTCGTTGTTACATTGCATTTATAAAACACGAGGCAGGTTTGGGAGGGCTCCTTCATCCCTGCACCAGATTGATCGTAGCCGACGGTGAAGAGATTATTTTCGGTGATGGTGTGGCGATTCCCGGTGTTACTCAAGTTCCATTGCTTGCCACAATAACGCCAACAGCAAGAGTCACTCTGAACCTCGCCTAAATTCTCACGAACGTTGGATCAGCTGGAATTAATTCACTGGTGCAGTGTCTAAACATCATTGGTGAGACCGAATGCGACCAGGTGTCATCCGAGACCTTAGGTACACAAAAGCCCTCTTGTGATATGTCCAGCGTTCATAGGTTCTCGCTAACAGCAGTAACCTCAACTGTATGGCTTTCCTTGGGATGTTTGTACATTCTGCTACTGATATTCATTGGCGTAAAATAAAATAAAATGTTTCGCTCCGGATTTAGCGTGCTGATATTAAAGGTGCATTGAAAAATGTGATACTCCGACTGATGCTTCTGTTGTTGTGGAGTGACTCATGCAGCCAGCTATGGCTCTAGGATTTGGTGTTACATGTTTATGTAGTTTATTGTAAAAATTCGGTCACAGTCCTTGTGATCACTGTTACGTTGCAGTTGTCTTTATTTTTTGGTGATTTCGAAAACGTTTTTTTGGTTTGGACATGTTTGTTTTGTTGTAGTATGGAGTTAGACTGATGGCCTTAATCTAAGTTTTCTTGTGGTTGTTGTTTGACTTGCATCCCACTGGGATTTTTTGCACACAGCGTTGGTGTACGATGCTTGTTTCAGGAATATTTTGCTGGTTTTTTTCATGGATTTGCTGTTTGCACAGTCACATAGTCACTTTAAGATGTTTTCTTGTTGTGTTTTAGATTTTTTGTTTGTTGTGGTTGCACCCGATTCAAGAGCCGAATGGCTCACAGGGCTATACCAAAATAAATAAACTGAAATTGAAACAATGTCTAAATTGATGCCTGACTTTGTTATTTTTTTGCTCCTCAGGTCGCTTATAATATGGAATGTTCTCTCTTCATACATATTTAGAAGCAGACCCTGAGATGTTTCAAGGCGTAACAGTGAAGCGTGAAGACGATGCTGGTGAGATGCCTTGGTTTTCTTCCCTGAGCCACCGTGGTGGGTATTACCACAATAAATGTAATCTTTTAGGGGATTTTAGTAAGTCTTTCCATGCTGCATTGTTGGTTCATCAATTCAACAATCAATGCCAAGCCGTAGTAGAAATTCACAGGTCACGCGGCAGCCTTAACAACAGTGCACGTTTTTTAAATCCCCTCGACTTTGCCTACCCAGCAGTATTAATTGGTACAACCACAGTGGTCCATGTGGTACTCCAGAGATATCTGGCCAGTGTGGAAGAGAAGGGCAAAATACCCCCCCAAAGGGGTCCTCAGGAGCTCCCTCTAATGTTGGCTCTTTCGCCACCAGTGATGTGAGCAAGCAATGGCAAAGCTGCACTTTTACATTTTACCTTTTTAGTAGTTAAGATAACTTTATTTTAACCCACGTGACAACAAACATGTTTTTCAAGACACAGCTCGGTTTTTAAGTAACCCAGCACAGTGAAAAGTATACAAGATTTATATGTTAAGGAAAAGCAAACAACCTTAAATTCCTGGGCATGGCCCAAGAGTAAATAAGAGTAAATGCAACAGTTGTACACTCCACAGCTACCAGATCACCTCAAAATGCACCAAAAATAGTTATAGCGTAGGTCAAGTAGGGTTGACCCAGAATAGCGCTTGGATGGATGACCACCATGCATAAAACATGCATCAGACTGCTGTGGAACGACATTGCCATCAGAGGCGAGTACAGCAGAAAGGAATTGACGGGAGGGTTATTGCATCATGAGACCCTGAGAGAATGGCGATGACTTGGAAGTCATTCATGTAGCAGTGGATAAAGCATGGATGATCAGGATCGTGATGATGTGTGCTGTTATTGCCCAAGTGCTGCCATGCAAGCAAGATGTTGATGAAAATCCCAGCTCTGTGATTGTGCAAGCAGTGGTGGTGAAGGATGAAGAGATCAACACAGGTGAGATCCACCTGCCCAGTTTTGTTTATTCACCACTGCTTCCACTTCCCTGGCTACCAGATTGTCTGTGGTTCCCACTGGTTGTGAGATGCAATTTGCATTAACGATGCTATATAAAATTCTTGCTTTACTACCCGGCTTCGCCCGGGACTTGGATTCAGCATGCCCGGCCGCCTTTGTCTCCCCAATGGTGATGTTCACACACCACACCAGTTACTCGTTTGAGGCTGAGTCGACCTAGGGGAGGCCCACCGGTTAAAATAATCGTCACCGGTGGTGGCCGTGAGCGGGAATCGAACTCGGGTTGCCAGGTTCGTAGCGCAGCGCGCTAACCACTACACTACAATGCGTTACGCTTCCACATGCGCGGGTCACATGACATATTTGACGTCACAGCTTACTTGCCGTGCAAAAAAAAATCTATGCATTATTGAGCTCCCACCCCCCCCCCCCCCCCCAAAAAAAAAGGGTATTTTTATAATTTTTGCATGGTGTACAGTCTGGAAAGTACCCACATGGCAAATTTCAAGTTTGTTGCATGTCGGGAAGTACACTAAACATTTTGAACAGACACACATATTCACAACTTTGCCTTTTATATATATCGAGATATATAATCAGAATGTTTTAGAATTTTTAAATGAGGTCAAGGGATCATGCTTTTTTCTTGTTTTGAAAGCAGGAGTTTTGGACCCTTTACCACCAAATGTTACTCTGAATCCACACTTGGTTACTTACTCTCTTAAGCAGTGCAGTAGACCGCTGTTATGGTTTTCCACGCGACAGCTCCACCGTCCCCCCCCTATCCGAGAGGATCTGGAGCCGGGCTTGATATGCTTTCAAGGCCTCGTGCTTACATCAAGCTTCTACTGTATCTCATCTTACATCTTGCTGGTACTTCCATACCCAATATTGTTGTCCTTATGTGGGGGCTTCACATTGTGCGATAGCGTATATTAACCTAGCGATGTTCTTGTTTCAACATTGTGTGGCAGATGAAGAAGAAGAAAAAAAAGAAACACGACCCCTGTGCAGGGAGTGCGGGAAGGACGATGTTAAACGCTTCAAAATGAAGACGTATGGAGTTAAATTTGCCGGCCAGACGCTGCAAGCCTGCACGCAATGCGGGAAGATGCTTAAAGACACCACGTCATGCATCAATAGGCAGTCGAAGAAGACAAGCACTGGAGAGACACGACGCTTCCGTGCATCGAGCAGGAAGGTTTCCGCACCGGTTGAGAAGTTGGGATCGCATGAGTTGACGAACGCGACCGACGTGAGGATGCACGCGTGTAAAAAGTGTGGGAAGGTATTTTCAAACAACTCTAATTTAGTGAGGCACGCCGTGGCGCACGGTGGCAAGCATCCGCATGTGTGCAAGGAGTGTGGAAAGGGGTTTTTGTATCACTACCGATTAAAGGCACATTCCAGAATACACACTGGTGAGTGGCCACACGTGTGCAAGCAGTGTGGGAAGGGGTTTTCTCGTATCGCCGATTTAGAGAGGCACTCCAAAACACACACTGGTGAAAAGGCACACGTTTGCAAGGACTGTGGGAAGGCGTTTGTACGGTATTCTAATTTCCAGAGGCACTCTATAATACACACTGACGTGAAGCCATGCATTTGCAAGGACTGTGGAAAGGCATTTCCGCACAGTTATGGTTTAAAGATGCACTCTAAAGTGCACATCGGTGCACGCCCATACATATGCAAGGATTGTGGGAAGCAGTTTTTGCAGCGTTATCTTTTAGAAAGACACTCCAGAACTCATACGGGTGAAAAGCCGTACGTGTGCAAGATATGCGGGATGAGATTTTCACAGCGTTACAGTTTAAATACGCACTCTCTAATACACTCGGACAAGTGGCCGCACGTGTGTCAGGAGTGCGGGAAGGGCTTTTTGCAGCTTTGTATTTTAGAGAGACACTCTAGAACGCACGCCGGCCTTAAGCCATACGTGTGTAAGGATTGCGGGAAGGAGTTTTCGCGGTGCGATTCTTTAAAGAGGCACTATAAAGCACACATCGGTGACTAAATATATTTAAATCCTTGAATATTTTCATTGAATGAAGTCCACGGTTCGGAGCAATGAAAGTGGATAGACGTGATAAATTTCAAAGAAGTGTTATTTTTTTTTATTACAAAAATGTTTCCATATTTGGTGTTCCTGAAATCATCACTCTGATTTTCGCTCATTGTGTAGATCATTACTTGATAGCCGGCTTAATCTTTCTCACGAATCACGAGTACATATTTAATGATTTATCATTGTTGTAATGATAGTCATGAGCTTATGTAACATGTTTCAGCAGGGTACAACTTGAACTGTTGGCTCAATTACTAAGCTTGTGGAAGTGTGTCAGCAAATTACATTTCCCAGAACAAAAGGCACTATGGATAATTCCACGGTGACAGGATACTAAGAACACTTGACCATGGCAAGAATACACGATCACAACAGACCATGTTCTCTCGGTGACATGACCGTGATGAGAGACATGTGCATGCATGCGTTGTGTGTTCCCTACAAGTTGTATCCGGCTTGACAAAAGCACTGGTATAACATCACCGCCTCTTGGCCACAAACAGTGCCGGTGGTACGGGTGGAAATATATTGTTGTATTCAAACAGTTGTTGCATTCAAATGTCTCTTAAATTAAAATGGCGTTGTACGTTTGCTGCAAACGTTTCTGTTTGTTTGATATGGGTGTATATTTTAAATGACAGTAATTTGCAGACCTTGTCATACCTAATCGAGATTTGAAGCTTTCGTGACTGCAGGAATCCATACTCTTTGGTTCTTTCGGTAAAGCCACGTAGGTATAAAATAAAATAAATCACGACGTTTCGATTGCAACACAAGCAATCATCATCAGGTGGGAAAACCATACCTGTCAACCCCTTATCAGTGACTACCTCATTACAGACGAATTCGGACATTATAGGTCGCCCCGATACATCTCAACGCCCATCCTACAGTCCCATCACAAGGGAGAACACAAACAAATAGACAAAAAAACTAATTTTTTTTGCCCGTATTGTTAACAGCTGTACGCCGCATGGACATGAAAACTCAGTTCGCCTGTACAAGAACACGGGGTGAACCGTGATGGGTTGACGGCTATGCCTCGTCAATGTCACTCCTGAATAAAACAACATCGCCACGCTTGTTCTGGAGCGCCTTGACCTCTACTCTGCTGCCACCTTCTGGCCCGCTCACGGCCCTGCAACTTTATGAACCTCAGGAGCACTTGGTTTGTTTTCGCCGCATCTTGTCGCTTCGTGTCCCTCGCTGTCCTTAAATCCCCTTGGACGAAGATCTCGGCACAGCGAGCAACGCGGCCCGGGTGGAATCCCGATCAGCCACACCGGCCCGGTCCACCTTCAACGCCCGCCTCTCTGTGTTGCAGAGCCCCGTGAGTGCGGTTGATCGCATTCGGACGCGATGCATACAAAAATCAATGCCGTTCAAAGTGTGTACGTCGGACTCCAATAATCCGCGATTCCTGTAATTCGCGCGACGCTTCGCGAGATCCGAAAATCCGCGATTTTTGTCGCAATTCTCCGACGGCGGCGCTGCAGCACCGCGCGTCCGGGCGGAATTCCGCGGATTTGGCGTCACGGTCGTGCCGACCTCGAAATCCGCGGCGCACCGCTGTAGGACGGTAAGTATTTAACCAGCGAGTTTTACAATGCATTATATACTACATTGCTGTTGTAAATGATCTCAGGTTATGTGGTTATTTTGATTCTCGAATATTGTATAGGTGTTGGGGGGGGGGCAAGCCCCACCCTAATCTAGGCACCATTAATTTATTTACAATATTCTTGGTTATTTCGGTAAAGTCACGTAGAAGGGAGACAAAATAATAAAAATATAAAATAATAAGATTATCACGACGTTTCGACTGCAACACATGCAATCATCATCAGGTGTGAAAACCACAGCAAGAAAATTTGAAAAAAGTTTATTTTATATTTTTATTATTTTATTGTTTCCTTTCTACGTGACTTTACCGAAAGAACCAAGAATATGAATCCCTGCAGTCACGAAAGCTTTGAATACAAATTTATTTTCTGTAGTTTACAATTAAGATTACATTTTTATTCAATTACGTGTACCCGCAATTCGTAATGCGAGGGACAAAGCGACCAACTCGCCCATAGAAGTTCATCTCCGCTTCGTACATTATTGTGCAGTAGCCAATGAGTGTAATAAAGTGTTTGAATATTTGCAATATAGGGATACCGATTCATTATTCATTACACTTGAACACATTTGTGTCGATTCGTGTCTGATGGGATAGTATGTTTTATTTATTCTTCAAACTAAAGAGTAAACAATGCCATCCATTCTGTACAGGGACTCCTCTATTTACGAGCGAGTTAGGTTCCAGCGTTCTGTTCGTAAGTCAATTTGTTCCTAAGTCCCAACTTCTGTCGATTCCAAACACGTTGTACGGCATGTACACTAAACACGGGAATGGCTTTACAAGTTCTATAATCACCTGTAGATGTAGATGCCACTGGTTCTTCATGTTATGCAGATGTAGATGCCACTGGTGCTTCACGTTCTGTAGATGTAGAGGCCACTGGTTCTTCATGTTCTGCATATGTAGATGCCACTGGTGCTTCACGTTCTGTAGATGTAGATGCCACTGGTTCTTCATGTTCTGCATATGTAGATGCCACTAGTTCTTCATGTTCTGCATATGTAGATGCCACTAGTTCTTCATGTTCTGTAGATGTAGATGCCACTGGTTCTTCACGTTCTGTAGATGTAGATGCCACTGGTTCTTCATGTTCTGCATATGTAGATGCCACTAGTTCTTCATGTTCTGTAGATGTAGATGCCACTGGTTCTTCACGTTCTGTAGATGTAGATGCCACTGGTTCTTCATGTTCTGCATATGTAGATGCCACTAGTTCTTCACGTTCTGTAGATGTAGATTCCACTGGTTCTTCACGTTCTGCAGAAGTAGATGCCACTGGTTCTTCATGTTCTGGAGATGCCACTGGTTTAATGTTCTGCAGAGATGTAGATGCCACCACCGCCATATATTGTGCGGCGGTTGAACTTACGACTCTCGGTCCGAATAGGCAACTGTACATATGGACAGGATCGTGTCTCTGAAAGTTCGTGAGTCGAATGTTCATAAGTAGAGGAGTCCCTGTATTTTGTCTCTTATGTGGCGGTGTGCGCGTAGGTGTGTGCCAATTGTGAGTGGTCTGTGGCCGTATTCGTGCGTCTATTTAATTTAATTAACTGATATAATTATTTGGTTATCTGTACTTACAGATTTTCAATCAGAAGAAGACAAACCAAGACACACGAAGAGAGAAGAAGCAAAGGAAGAGATCAAAAAAGTACCTTATACAGTACAGCGCTGTACTGTATAGTGATGTACACGCGCTTGTTTTTTTTCCGTCAATGCAGAATAAATATCTTTTGCAGGAGGGGGAAACGATAACGAGGAGCAGCAAGAAAAGGGAGAGTAGAATAGGGGCAACAAAGAGAAGGGAGGAAGAGTAGAAGCAGGGAGGAGGAGAAGACAAGCAAAGATGTCTTCAGGGCAAGGCAGCAAGGACCAGACAAAAGCCAAACGAGTCTTCCTTTCGCTCGAAAAGAAAATTGAAGTCCTGGAGAAGATCAGGACTGGAAGATCCCTCCAAGCTATTGCAGCCGATTACAACATTGGCTACACCACCGTCCGAGACATCCGCGACAACGCGGATAAAATCTCCAAGTTCTTTTCGGAACTTCAGAGTGCAAACGCCACAAAGAAGCGCAAGACCACCCGCTCGGCTGACAACAAGGAACTCGATGCCAAGCTGTACGAGTGGTTCTTGCAGCAGCGTGCACAGGGCCACCCCGTGAGTGGCCCTATGCTGTGCGAGAAGGCCAAGGTCTTCTCTGCGAAGCTTCGGTCCAGGCAAGAAGGAGGCGATGAGGAGGAAGAGGAAACCTTCATGGCAAGCCAGGGGTGGCTGCGTTCCTTTAAGGAACGCCACGGCATCCGGCGCCTTTCCGTAGTCGGTGAACGCCATGGGTCTGATGTCGATGCGGTCCGGGAATACATTGCTAGGTTCCAAGCGATGGTGGATGACAAAGGCCTATGCGCATCCCAAATTTATAATGCGGATGAGACGGGCCTGTTTTGGAAGTCGCTGCCTTCCAAAACATTGGCTTCCTCTTCGGAAGTGAATGCTGCCGGCTACAAATGTAGCAAGGAGGGCATGACAGTTCTGATGTGTGCCAATGCTTCGGGCACACATAGGCTTAAATTGACGTGCCTGGGTAAGTCAAAAAATCTTGGGGCCCTCAAAGACCTCTCTGAGGACTGTCTTCCTGTCCATTATTATGGACAGAGGAAGGCCTGGATGGACCAGTTCACCTTCAAGGACTGGTTCTTCACCAAATTTGTTCCTGCCGTCCGTGACAATCTCTTCCGTGAGAAGTTGGGCTCGCGCGCAATCCTTGTAATTGACAACGCCCCGGCACATCCCTCCGGACAGACCCTGCAGACGCAAGATGGGCACATCACTGTTGAGTTCCTTCCGTCGAACGTGACCGCTCTCCTACAGCCAATGGACCAGGGGGTGATCGCATTGTTCAAATGCCTGTACAGGAAGGAGCTTCTACGGAAGCTTCTCGACATGGAAGATGAAGACCCAGAAACTCTCATCAGGCATTGGAGGGCTCTTTCTATTAAGGACGCCCTTTTTGTGGCTGCTTCTGCCTGGAGACACGTGCGGAGGGACATCCTCAGCCGGTGCTGGAAGCCAATCTGGCCCGCTTCTTTCGTGCCCCAAGTCGACTTGAAAGAAGCGGATGAGGAGCTGTCACCTGTCGCCCTCCAAGAGTCGGCCAGAGAATGTCTAGCACTTCTGCACGACATCCCGGGCTGCAGCAGCACCAACCTGGAGGATATCACCGAGTGGCTCTCCTCAAAAGACTCCGTGGACCCCGCCTGGCAGGAGAAAACGGAGGAGGAGATCCTGGCTGGCGTTGGCAGCGATGACGACAGGGAGGAAGAAGACGAGGCCACCGCAGAGGAGCAGGCTTTTGGAAGAGCAACAAGGTGTGCTGCGGCCGTTAGCGCTTGCGATACTTTACTCGGCTACCTGGAGAATGCTCCTGTCCCCGAAAAGGAGCAGAGGAAACTTCTCATAAGGAGAATGAGGAACGAGATAGCACTGAGGCAATCGGCGCTACTTGGCCAAACCTCGATGTCAGGCTTTGTGGTACACGATACTGCTGCTGCTGCTGCTGCTCATGGGACGCTGGTGCGGCGATCAAGGAAGCGGAAGCAGTCGTGCACAAAAGCTGCGGCCGCCGCTCCCAGGTTTCCCACACCGGGTACTTCTGGGTGGTCGTGAGCAGGTCGTCCCCGTGTGGCAACAAGTGGCGAGGAGGAGGGAGGAGGGGGGAGTCGACACTTCTTACAGCTGGAGGATTAAGATGATGAGGGGAAATGTTTACTTATTGCCTATGGCACAGTATTACTTGTTCTGTTTTGTCGCCGATTATCCACATTGGATAAATAGTCCCTTAATTAAAACATTAAAAACATGTTTTCTGTTTGTTCTGAATATCCGCAGCGGATAAAGTACAACACTTAAAATTAAACGATTAAAATGTGTTTCTGTTCTGAATATCATCAGCGGATAAAGCAT